CTCCCAGAATTCCCCAGCCAGCCTTGCTGGCTGGGGAATTCTGAGAGTTGAAGTCCACCCGTCTTAAAGTCGCCAAGGTTGAGGAACCCCAGGCTACACAGTTTCCTGTGTCATTTTGTGTAATGCCTAAAATGGAAGAACGTGAACCGCTCTTTCCCTGAACTACTGTGAGGACGTGCCGTGTCTCCTCATCTCATGTTGATGGTGGGATGTCCACAGCTCCACTTAGTACATTATCAACATGCATGGATGACAAAACCAAGAAAATGCTTTCTTCTGGGTGTCTCTGACACTGCCATGTATACTAGGGGTTCGAAGAGGTTTGAACGAAGCAAGTAAAAAAATGGAAAACAGCAAAGATTCATAAAGTCTTGAGTGTGAACCACCGTGGTTTCTAAGAGATCACACAAGAACGTTGATAGTGATCTTATGTAACAAATAGTTGCCATTTTATTCCAAATTACCACTTTTAAACCAATGATTCGTGGTACTAGATAAGAGGAACGTTTCCTCAGCCATCTGTTAAATTGGTTCATTTGTATATTCATTAAATGCTGGTATTTGAAATGACATTCTGAAAAAGACTGAAATAAAATGAAGACAAATCGTATGATGCATTGCGGAAATTGATCTTTCACAAAAGCTATTTGTATAAGGGCTGGCTCGTGTGCAGAAGGGTTGGCTGTCGACTTTATCTTAAAAGGGTAAAATGGGTGACGGGATGTTTAATGATACGGCTGTGCCCTCTTGCCCCATTCTGTGGTGGTTGTTTAATTATTTATTTAATTAATTAATTAATTAAATGTTGGCGTGTTGTGCTCCAGCAAACCTAGAGCAATTCACAGTGGTTTGCAGTACGTATAATCATAAAACAAGAATACTTGCTTGAGATGGTCCAAACCCAGCGTGGTGAAGTCAATACAAAGTATTAAAATAATATCAAAAAGATAACCCCAACTGCCAACTCAATCACAAACTGGACTCTTCCACAGTCCTTGTAGCAGCCCCATAGAGCAGCAATGAGACCTCTTGGGAGGCTGTTGCATAACAGAAATATACTTTGAGACTCCCTGGCCTCACAAGGTGGTTGTTGGAGATTGAGGAGGCCAGATGCCTTGAGCTTCTGGAGAAAAGCTGGGATATATAACTAATAAACAGAGATCTATAACTAATAAACATATCTTGCAGGCTTCAGTCCCTTCAAGGAAGACAGTCTGCGTGTCTTGAAAATAAGTTCTGTAGATATTTTAGTGGCCTTCTTAATGGAAGATCGCCCTTGCTTGAGGCCCAAAAACATCTCTTTTGCCGACATCTTTCTAAACAGAGCAATAGGATAGTTTAAATGGACTGTTCATCCTGCCCCCTCTATATTTTTTTTAAACAAATTATATTTTCAGGGCTGTGTTCCACTTAAGGCAACCTTAGACAAAGGCTGGAAATAAACTTCCTTCCTTGCTTGCAATCCATCTTATTTAAAAACCAAATAATCACTTGAAGAGGCAAGCCAGACTCTCATTAAGCTTTGGCAATGCCCAGTCCACCGACTTCCAATACCTTGAAGGGCTGAAAAAGAACGAACCGGGGACAGTGTCTTTGTAATTATTTATAACTGTTTACTTCCAGCCTCCCCTCCCCTAATTTTTTTCCTGTTTTCACTATAAACTGTTCTGACACCTGGGACCTGTTAGCTTTAACACAGCAGATCACAGCAAGTCTCCGTAATATGAACTGAAGCGTGGTGAAAACAATTGCGTGGCACGCTTTGTATTGTGGTCGTGCAACAGCTGTTTTTGGCACGAATCTGGCATTTTAACATTGGTCTGGGTGTTTTACTTTTACATACATATAAAAGTATTTTGCATCACCTTTAGTCCAGACTGAAAGCCCCCTCCTTTTTAAAACTTTAAAGCAGTTAAAAAAAAAAACGTGAAATTTATACAAAGGAAATCCCGAGGACCAAAAAAAGGCTCTAAAAAAATGTGAACATAACAAATACATTTAAAATCACTTAAAATGCGTGCTTAAAAGGCAGGCTATAAATAATTGTTTATAGTTCTTGCTATATTTGTGATTTGCTGTTGGAAGGTGATTTGAGAAGATAATGGGACTAATTTAAACAATATACATGTTTTTCTTTCAGTAACTAAAATAAAGGAGTGAGCTTTCTAGAAGTCTTTTCCGTTCGCCTTTTTGCCAAATCTCCTAATGTCCCTTCCTGTGCCACTTTGCGAGTCTCTAGGGCTCCCCAAAACACGCCTCATTTCTTCCCTTTCACACAACCATTATTACACAAGCAACGGTGATGGAGTTTTTACCAGTCTCTTTTACCAGATTCCTTCCATCGCCATGGTGCATCAACAGGGCAATGGGAGAGGGGGTCACCATGGGAGGTGTTCTTCTCTCAAGAGCTCCTTGGCACTTTGCTCAACTGTTGGTCTGTGCAACTGATAAATTAGGTAGGGAAAGCATGCAGCACATGGCTGATGGAATTCCCTCTAATATAATTACTCTGAGTCACATGACCAGGGGGGTCTCAAGGAAGGAGCAATCAGCGCATTCCACGTTGCATCTCCCAGAGCAGTGTGTCTCATCCTTGGCAACCTTAAGAAGGGTGGACTTCAACTCTCAGAGTTCCCCAGCCAGCTATGAAGTCCACCCATCTTAAAGTTGCCAAGGTTGAGACACACTGTCCCAGAGGGACACCTGGAGGGACTTTTCCCCTGGATTTAGTTTTCTTCTGCAACTTCCAACCAGATCTGGCCCATTTTCGAACTCAATCTTTCTTTTGTTGATTCTCCTGCCATTCCACATTTGGGCTGATTTTGTTCTGTTCTTGGTGAGTTACCCTGCTGACTGGCAGATAGGCAGACTCTCTTGGCATAATTTCTTTCCATTGGGTTGGAAAGAATAACAAGAGGAGGGTTACAGTGGGGAGGGGAAAGTCCTGTTTATTGTCCATGCAACATTCACTCCAGGGAAGGGAAGGGAAGGGGGATTGTATGGTTGGGATGACTTTTCATGGGCTTTAGAGACAAATTATGCAGAGAAATCTGGTTGTTGTTTTTTTCCTGGCTGAATTTTAAACCAAGTGGGAGACCAAGAGCTATGGCTTCACTTTGCCATCTGAGCAAATAATACTGGGCCCCAGAGTTGAGTTCTGAGCCCTAGTTTGTACTAACGTGACTGATTTCCCATTCAGTTTGCTGGAATGGGCACAAGAGTCTGATGCAGGGCAGCGCGCAAAGCTGCTTCCCTTGAAGGGTTTGCTTAGATCATAGCCCTCCTTCGAACTGCTTTGTGCCGAAGCACATTTCATTTATGAACACTGCCCAGCCCTAGCGTAGTTCCACATTGGGAAAGGGACGTAGCCTGTTAAAATGTAGCCAAGAAAACAACTTCATACTTTTTTTTATTTTTATTTTTATTTTTTTGCAAATATAGATGCAATGGCAATTGCATTTAGCTTTGGGGTCTTGATTTTAATCATGACATCACGCGAAAAGCAGCCTTTTCCTGTTTTTCTTTGTTTTGTAAACCTTATCAAAGATTTGGCAAATGGCTCCAGCTTCCCTTGAATGTGAGATATGATTATGAGATGCTGTGCTTTTTCTGTGTGTTTGTTTGGTGGTCATGAGGCTGCAAAGGCAGGGCTTTCCATAGCTCTGGATCAGCAGAGAAAAGCCTGGGGTGGGAGCCTAACGCGTGGCATTTCGGTTGGAAAAAATGATAGAGTCAGTTTTGGTGTGAATGCAGCCATAGTCTAAACTGTGGCCAAACATTTTGTTCTGATATTCCCCAAACATCCACTCAGCGTTCCCCAAAGTTCCCCTCACCACCATGCTGGCTGGGTATAATAAGGATAGTCCACCACATTCAGATCGTGCCATGTAGGAGAAAGATCTGCTGTTGGGCTTGTATTTATCCAGAAACAAACCTGTTTCCTATAACCAATGAATTCCCCCTCTCTTCTTTTACAGCAAGTAACAAGAAAAACCTTTGGTGATAAACATTTTCGATCGGGATTAGAAAATGGTGTGCTGCTGTGTGAGTAAGTAATGAACTCTTTGTTTTAAGTTCCCTTTATAAAGTCTTCATAACAGTATATGTAAACTTGCATGTAATGTTGAGGATGTACCTCACCATTCTTAAAAGTTTGGCTTTGGGAATGTTTCACCAGGTGCCTAAATTGCCCCCCAGCATGTGCTAAAATGCAGATTGTGGTAGGTTTTGCTAAAAACAGTCACTTTCCCAGACGTTGCTGTACAGATTTGCTAGTAGGAGTCAGCTGACCTCAAGCCAAAGGAAACGTCTTGAGTGGAAGACCTCCAACTTAAACAAGTTTAGCCAAAACAAATAACTATGGATCATCATTCAATCTGTTGCATGTTTAGGAATTGGATGATCATGGTGTGTTTTCTAAACACCCCCATGTACATCTGGTGGGAATTCTACCATTCTGGATATAATATATTTCTTCATAAGGTTCACAAGGGAGACTTTCAAATATAGTATGATATTATTTAATACTAGGACTCATCTCTTGCACAGAAGCATTCTTCAGAGCAGAAAGAATCAGTATGATTAGATTTCCATATGGCTGCTTTACTGTGGATTCTATAAAATAGTTCCCAGAATTTCTAGAATTGCAGCAAAAAGAGCTGAAAATGGGAATATATAGATAGGGACAGTCGGATTTTGTGGACTGAAGAAAAGTCAAAAGCCTTCAGTCCCTGGGCTCAACCAGAACAGATGGGCAAACCAGTTCTTAGCCTATGTTGAATCCTTATTCCATTTTAAGAGTGACTGTCATCCAATCATGTAGGGGAAAATTAAAATGCTCTAGAGAACAGGATTGTAATGATTAGGGCAAAGCTACATATTGTAGCTGATAGTGGATGGGATGATCCCTACTGGACCAAAAAGTTCCTTTTTGGTCTATACATATTCCACTGTTGAAATCCATTTTGTCTTTCTTCTGTACTGATCTGCTATTTTTTATTTTTAAAAATCCATATGAACATAAATACTCTGGTAATCTTTTTAACAAAAAATGGTTCGGGAAGTACAAGGTCTGGTGGATAACTCATTTCCATTCTGCACAGAGTAAGTAGCTTGCCAGATGAACGTTTCTTTCAAAAGCCAGAAAAGTGTACATGGCCCTCACATGCCCTGCCTTCCTTGTTTTCAGCCCAGGATCAATGCCTCACATGATGGGGCAAATGTCAACGTTGAGTCCTCTGGATGTTTCTGGAGACAGAGCCTTGAGCCTACTTGAAGCTGCAGTGCAAGCTTTATGTTTAAGAAATACTTGTAGTTTCCTGAATCCAAAACAAGATTATCTGCCTTTCCAAGCCATGTTAAAATGCCCATGAGAATGACTTTAAATCCTAAGAGCATTCTAGGAATGTCTGGAGAACAATAACTCTTTATTCTTCTTACTTAAACAATGCTGAACAAGGCTCAGAAATTGGCTTCCCATTTGAAAACAACTGCCCTCAGCACTTCCTACTTACATTATGAAAATTAGGGTGTTTTCATGCTCCCATGAGAATTAGGGCAGGGGGACATTTCAGGTACATCTTTATGGTAGATGTACTTGCCATTAAAGTGAAAGTAGGGGTTCATCTCTTGTAATCTTCAGTTTTTCCCCTGTTCCAGGATTTCCAGTAGAGTCACCCCATACCACGGGTGCATTTGAGCAACCAGAGAATCATTTGGTATCTTGAAAATGCAGTTTAAATTAAATACATATCAGAAGGCTGTAGACTGATGATGTACTGTTGCTGCCAAGGTAACAGGTGCAACTCCTATAATGGAAATGGTCTGGAAGAGGAGATCTTGAAGCAGCATCAAGGAATCCCCTTGTTTTTCCTTCCTTTTCCTCAAGCAAGTATTGCTTCACCCATTCCTACTCCAGTGGTGATGGAAGTTTGCTGGTTTGGTCATGTGTTGTCAGAAGTCTACTGCGATAGATCAGTTAAGGATTGTATATTCCCAAGTCAGTCTCGGTTCGGATTATTAGGGTTCTGTTATGTCATGGAGAAGTGTACGAATGCCATCTCCAGTCATAAAGAACTCCGGCTCTTTTTTCTTTGAGGGGCAGAGATGGTGAGTTCTCCCGGGTGAGGGAACAAGGATCCACGCCTTCCCCAGCTTCTGAATTTGGCTGCTCCGTTCCTAGCTAATTGGAGGACAACACATGACCAAACCAGCAAACTCCCATCACCACTGGAGTAGGAATGGGTGAAGCAATACTTGCTTGAGGAAAAGGAAGGAAAAACATGATGCCGCTTCAAGATTTCCTCTTCCAGAAGAGGAATGGGTAGAAGGAGGACTTTCTCCTTTACTACCTTTAGTACCCTACAGCTCTTTTTTCTGAGGAAGGGGGAGATTCTTGCCTGAGATACCCGGAGCTCTACTGTAGAGTCCTTAAAGCTGCACTCATCCTTGTTATGGATGGCTTCCCACGTGCGCTGTTGTTTCTTAGCACTGTTTATTTCCTTCCTATGAAGTCATCACAAAAGTTTTTTTTTTTTTTAATTATACCCTGCTGATCAGAAGCAATAGTGCTCTGTTTGTGCCATGCTGAGCAACTGGGTGCAATGGCTTGTTTGCAGCTGTTATGTACGTGGGATATATGAAACATCTTGCATTCTGGTTAATGCGGGAGGAAGGGTTATTGCTATGCAGTCCCAGCTAAAAATGTGGCAGTTTTTCAGGTTGTCTCAGAATAACTGAGTCTTACCCATAAGTGCTATGCAACTGGGCTTAAGGCACCTGTAAATCTTCCCGTTTGAGTTTTTCTACTTGGAACTTCTGATTGAAAAGAGAAGGGTGGAGAAATTACTCCCTTTGTTTCATTCTCTGTTCTGCTCCACATTATGCATGTCCCACATGAAGCATAAAGAGCCTACTTATGTAAAATTTGGCAGGTTCTTTTTAACTTACTTGAAAGCATGTCTGAGAAAGTAATATATGCGTTATAGTATAGACAATGGAATTGAAATCTGCAAGTGTGAAAACTTTCTTGAGACATTATCCTTCTTGGGTTTAAAAAAGATTTATTTCTGCTTTTTAAAAAATATGACCAGTTCTTATTGTTAAGCCAGATGTACGTAAGTGCTGACCTTTTTTGTTTTCTAAAAAATGATTTCATGGCTTCTGGCACAGTGATTTGGAGTGATTATTACTATATGCAGCAATTTTAGTAGGAATCGCCATTGTGTGCCAGATAATATAATAGCAGTTCTCCATGGGCGTCTAGATTAGCTTAAGTTAGTGTTACTGCAGTGTAAGTTACAAGCACCCAACTCTTCCTACTTCTCTTCCTATGTTGCAGTTTTGCCAACTTTTTTTTATAAATGGGCAAAACTGTTTTCTGTGGAGACTTACTTTTGTGATGAGATTCAGCAGCTCTCCCTTTTTCTCAGCTTTCCTCTTCTGATCCTTTCCAGTGTGGCCGCCAACTGTCTTCTCTAGCAGAGATGTAGCATGATTAAAAACAATCATAAAAATGAAAGGGCTGAAAATTGGTGATAAATGGTGATTATAACCTAAATTCAATAGCAGTCGTCCAAAACCAGTTACATGAAACATAATTCAAAATTAAGAAGAAGACCTGGAGTGAATTGATACTGTGCTCCTGTATATCTTGATAAATTGTGCTTGTTTTTGAGCCAGGCCTATAGCAATGGCAGGAGACAGCCTTCTTTGCAGAGGGGAAACGTTTCTCTGGAACTAGGTTTTCCCTAGAAAATTCATACGCATGTAGAGACACCTGTCTTCTATAAGCATTGTAACAGATTCCCTTAGTCTGAGAGTCAAAACTTTTTTAATATGTTATGAATCTGGCAGGGAAAGATGGATTCCTCTCTGTTAGAGAAGACTTCTCCCATCAGCAATGTCGAAGTGGCTCCAAGATTATTTTAAATCCAGGTGTACAATTCTCCTTCTGTGAATCATCTGGACCAAACACTTGCATGCTGGAAGAGAAATGGTCGGTAGAATAATAAATTACAACATGAAGCGACTGCAGAATGTATCCTGGGCTCCCCTAATCTTATGCCCTCTATGTTTATTGGACTTGCTGCTTAATGATTAAGAATGATGATAAGGTCATGATAATGATGAAATATGCATTTCCACATTTCTGGAGGGTATCAGGTTGAAGAAGATTGCCGTGCACAGCTGTACCTGCCCACTATCACAGGAATCTATTTTAATAATTTCCCCTTTAAAAAAAATTAATAAGATCTCAAAACAGCCTTCACAGGCCTTTTAGAAGGAGCGTTAAAATAGATTGAAATTAAAAACCAAGTAGGCAATTGAAAACTGGAAAGTAAATCTATATGTATCTTGAGTTAACCAAGCAATAGATACATATAGCAGTTCACAAAGCATATTTATGGCATTACAACTTGCATAGCTCTAAAAGTTATGCTGATTATTTATTGTCTAAGATCTCTAACCAAATATTTTCACAAACCAAGGTATTATGAACGTAAAATACATATGTAAAATACATACTATTGCCGGCTCACTGATGAGTGAGCTAGAATAGTATTTGAGTTTTTAGGGCTGCATATAGTAATGCCAGTAACAGTATATGTTAGCTTTTGCGTGCAGCGTGTGTTATAATTTCCTCTTGTACGTTCCAGAACTATATTAGTACAATTTTATACATGGAAAAGGGAGATTAAGAGGAGAGGAAAAGTCTGGTTTCAGAATGAATGGAGGAATGGAAGTAGAACTTGTTTTCTAGTGTGTGCTAAGTGTATATTTGATGTATAAGTGGGTTGGAGGTATGAAGTCAAGTATGCCTCTCATGTTGTTACTTGGGAAAGGTTTTCACTCCCATTTACACATGTTTAAATTTATCCAGGGTCAAGTATGTTTGATACTTTTCAGTTTATTTCTGCATAAGATTAAGAGTAGCTGTACAACACATTCAACAGTGTTTCTCAACTTTGCCAGCTTGAAGATGGGTAGACTTCAACCCATCAATTCTCCTCCTTCAATTCTAGGAGTGGGCTGGGGAATTCTGGGAGT